GTTTGTAATTTCCTTTGAGGAATACATCTGAATGAGTTGGATTTCATTAATGTGTTTAAACAGTACTACTTTAGGGGCTGCTTTCACAGCATTGGCCGCTCTTCTACAAGACCAGGTTTGATGTCCAGCACACAGACGGGGCTGGCTCACAGTCTCATCCGTAACTCTAGTTCCAGTGGATATGAAAACGGTGTACCCTTTCAGCTTCCACAGGCGCCAAGGGCATACATGGTATAAAGACATACATGTGGGCAAAACACCCACACATATGAAATAAATATAATTCAACAGTATTATTTTATCAGTATTCTTAATATTCTTTCAAAATTGAGGTAGCCTTTTTCATGTTGTTAAAATTGTTAATGATAAGACACTAGTGATTCCTTATCCTTATAAATAAGATTTATTTTCTTTTTATTTCAGGCTGGGGAGGGTAAGTCCTAACTGTATGTGAGTGACCCCAAAGGCCATAAAGAGGGTGTCAGATCTCTTGGAGGTAGACATGATATGGGTACTGGGAACCGAATTCTGGTCCTCTGGAAGAACAGGAAATGCTCTTAACATTGAACCAGCTCCTAGACCCCCTTTATCTTCACATTCGTGTTTCAAACTTTCATTTCAATGCCCATTGTCAGTTTTAACCGCTGTTAAAAGAATTGTATTTGAGAATTTGGCTCCCCCTAAATCAGCTGAATTTTAAGGATATGAACTCAAGCTTCCTCTGACTTTTGCTCACTTTCTTTTTTCTTGTAAACATTATCACTCTTTGTAAACTCCTATTACTCCCTAGACTCTACAGTTCCAACAAAGAGTCAGCTCACCATCATTTTGAAACTTTGTGCTTATATCCCAATTCACAAAGAAATTATAGAAGCTTAGCCATTGGTGTATAATTCCAGATGTCCAAGATGAAATCATGATAATTAGGATAAGTAGTTGAAAGGACTGATAAGTTCCGAATGCCAGAAAGAATCATTTAAACGAAATCTAGAACTATTATTTTGAAAGACTACAGCCTTTGTGCTGTCTCTCTGTTTATGTCTTGTCTGTCCTTCCAGCCATCCTTGTAGGCTCTCACTCCTTGCCAGTAGCAGTCTGTGCACAGCAGGGGTAGCTCATAACTGCATATACTAACCAGAAGGGAGAATTCTCTTTAGATTCTTACATTCTGCTTTTTGTATTTATGGTAGAAATAAAGATTAGTGAGGCATTTTATTAATTTCATCATTTATGTGTTTGCTTTGAATTTGCTTGGAGTGCTCTATTTATGAGTTATCCAGGGCCAGCTGACTCATTAGTTTTTATTAATTAATTTTATTGAAAAATATTTTTTCATACAATATTTTTTTCATGATTTTCCCATCCCTCAGATCTGCCTGAACTTCCTAACCACCAAACTTTTATCTTCTTTGTACAGGACAAAATTTATATACTCTAAAGCATTTTGACCAGAGTCTATTGTATATTAAGTAGTATCACAGGGGTTTTTTAAAAAGACTTCTTAAAGTATGTATATTTTTGTGTGTCTTTGTTGAGATTTGTACATGAAAGTACAGTGACCAAAGATGCCATGGAGGGCCTCTGACCTTAGTAACTGGATTATAAGTGTGAACTGCCTGACATGGGTCCCAGAAACTGAACCCAAGTCTTCTGCAGGAGGAGTACACACTCATAACCTCTGAAACCCATCTCTCTATCCAGCCCACATCATTGGTGTCTTTCATGACGCATATATAATTTAAAATTACTTACTTTCTGTTCGATTACCTGTTACACTAGCCACCATTTTGTGGGTTTGGTTTATTATCTTTCTAAAGATGCTGTGATAAAATACCTTGAACCTGGAGGTTAAAAATAAGAGAAGTGAGCCAGGGGTCATGGTGCATGCCTATAATCCCTGCACTCAGGGAGACAGAGGCAGACAGATAGATCTTTGTCAGCTTGAGGCCAGCTTGACCTACAAAGTGAGTCCAGACAGCCAAGGCTGCACAGAGAAAACTTGTCTTCAAAAACAAAAACAAAAAAGCAAAACAAAAAGAAAAGGAAAAAAAAAACAAACAAAAAACTAAAATAAGAGAACGGCATTCTGCCCAGTTCTGGAGACTAACAGTCTAAAGCAAAGGAGTTGTCAGGGTCATATTCACAGAAAAGCATGAGAAACAATCTTTCTTTACCTTTTCTGAGCTTCTGATGGTTGCCAGTGATCCTTTGCTTTGTTTGCATTGATTGCAAAAGGCCAGTGGGTATCATCACCCAGCACCACAACATTGGGCTAGATGTTAAATTAAAATAAATACAGCACTTAAAGTTCCTCAAACCTTGGAATAAATAGAAATATGAAGGGAAAACTAGCAGCCATTCTAAATGTAAAACTTTGACTCTGCTCTCAGAGATCCATGTTAAACTAAGGCATAATTACAGTAAAAGAATGTGACGAACATATTTCTCTCTACATTCTGGAAAAAAGAGTTCTCAGGAATGATGAATTTTGTTTGTGTACTTCTTGGTATCTTAACATCTCATGCTTCCCCTCGAAGGTCTCACTGCCACCATATCCCTCTTCTTTTCCATCAATGACCTTCTTTAGAATATGACACTTTATCATCCTTTATTAGTGGCTAAGGAAAGATTTAAGTAACCTAGTCTCACCTTACCCCAGCCCTTAATTTTTTTTTTAATTCTGGAAACAAAAAGTTTTTTAAAAACAGTATCCTGTGGCAGGTTTCAAGGTTGTTTCCTGTTTTCTTCTGGCTTTCAGAGGCCCTCTGTAGCAGGTTCCGAGGTTGTTTCCTATTTTCTTCTTCTGATGTCCATCCTCTTTGCCTTTCAGGATGGGGATTGAACATTTTAGTTAGGGTCCTCTCTTTTGCTTAGTTTGTTTAGATGTACAGATTTTAGTGGGTTTATTCTATATTGTATGTTTATATGAGTGAGTATATACCATGCGTGTCTTTTTGCTTCTGGGACAACTCACTCAGGATGATCCTTTCCAGGTCCCACCATTTACCTGCAAATTTCAGAGGGCCTCTGAAAGCTTCTGCAGTATAGACTGTCAAAGCAGATGCTGAGCCTGATGGCCAACTGATGGGCAGAGTGAATGGAATTTTATGTAAGAAGTGGGAAATAGTAAGAGCTGGAGGGGACGGGAACTCCACAAGGAGAGCAACAGAACAAGATAATTTGAACACAGGGAACTTCCCAGAAAATCATACTCCAACCAAGGACTATTCGTGGAGACGACCTGGAACCCCTGCACAGGGGTAGCCCATGGCAGTTCAGTGTTCAAGTGGTTTACATAGTAATGGGAAGAGGGACTGCCTCTGACATTATCTGATTGGCCTGCTCGTTGATCACTTCCCCCTGAGGGGGGAGCAGCCTTACCAGGCCACAGTAGAGGACAATGCAGCCACTTTTGATGAGAACTGATAGACTAAGATCAGAAAGAAGAGGAGAACCTCCCCTATCAGTGGACTTGGGGAGGGGCATGCATGCAGAAAGGGGAGGGAGGGTGGGATTGGGAGGGGAGGAGGGAGGGGCTTATGGGGGGATACAAAATGAATAAAGTGTAATTAATGAAAAATTAAAAATAAATAAATAAATAAAGTTAACTTACAGCACATAAAAAAAAAAAGAAAAGAAAAGAAAACAGTATCCTGTTTCCTTTCCACTCCCCTCATACTCAGACTTTTAACTCACTATACTCCAGAGTTTTTCACGTGTGGAGACGGAAGCTCTCAGGATGTTCTGTTCCTCTTGTCTGCTTGACTTTCATTCTGCCCTTGGCCTTGGACCTCAGGTTGCTGTTCTGCTAACCATTCCATTCTCAGCTGCCCTGTCACATTGTTCCTTGCACATAGGGCCTTTTTCTTTATCGGGAAGAAACTTTTCTGCTCATGGGTTTGCAACTTCAGTTATCAGTGGTGCTGAGAAAAGGCCTCTCTCTAAATTCATGTAACCTTTGGCTTCAAAATGGTCTTGAGACTGCAATGATCCTAGGACTCCAGAGCAGCCAAAGCATTTCCCCAAATATGTTTCATTGAGGTTGAGTGATTAAGCACCCAGATGTTTTCCTGGAATACTTAACTACCAAGTTGTGTGTGTGTGTGTGTATGTATGATGTAAGTGTGTGTGTGTGTATATATATATATATATATGTGTGTGTGTGTATACACACACACACACACACACACACACACACACACACATGTATGTGTGTGTGTCTAGCGCAGTTTCCAAAATTTATATTTCAAAGGAACCTAGGATGTAGTCTTAATTTCAGTATGTGAGAATAAGACCACTACTACAATTTTGAAGCAAATTTGAAGCAAGCTTTAATTAAATACTGGCCAGAATGATGGGCTATGGCCATATCCACTCCTGGGTTTCCAGAAAATGACAAGGAGTCATGTTTTGCAGAGGCTTATAAAACAAAATCATAGAACCACCATATTTTCCAACAAGTCTAATCAGGGGTAGGCATATGTCCTGATGTTTTTCCTGCCTAAGTACCTCCTGCCTACTTCCAATTAGGGGTTAGCACATATGCTGAAATGATTCCTACCCTCTTACCTCTCACCTACATTTAACCAAGCACATCTGGTGCAATTGGGTCAAACTTTTATAGGGGGAGGAAAACTTGTGGCTTGATATCTTCCATAAATCTTAGCCTCCAAATGGTAACAAAATTGTTCTTTCAGGGAGTCCTGTTGAAATAGAGCCACGTGGCCTGTAATGATGGCTCATGCTTTAATCCCTGGATTTGGCAAGCTGAGGTAGGAGATTGTGTATTCAAGCACTGACTAGGGTTATTAAGGGTAACATGACACAAAACAAAGCAAAGTGTCTCAAACCAAATATAAGCATAAAATAGCATTGGTATCACTCATCAGACAGAGAAGATACTTTTCTAATAGATCTCTGTCCTAACATGTGAAGGACATCCAACGTGAAACATTTGAGATTTCAGTTTGTTTACCTATTTCTAACTCTTTGCTTTTCAGATTTGCTTGGAAGCATAGAAGAAATCCTTCCCAGCCTCCCCAAACATGTCAGTGTTTGGGGAATGAAGGATTCTGTTCCACAAGGTGTAGTTTCCCTCAAAGAAAAGCTGAGTCTCGTCTCTGATGAGCCAGTACCGCCAAGCTATCATGTCACCTCAAGCCTCAAGTCTACTTGCCTCTATATTTTTACCTCTGGAACAACAGGTATGTTTGTCCTCTGTCTCTCTGTCTCTCTGTCTCTCTGTCTCTCTGTCTCTCTGTCTCTCTCTCTCTCTCTCTCTCTCTCTCTCTTTGTCCTGTGTGTATATGTGTGAGCCTAGAATAAAGTGTCATGTGACCTTCATTGCTCTCTACTTTATTGCCTTGAGGTAGGTCTATCATTAGAACTTTCTAGCTAAATCGACTGGCTAGCCAGCTCTTAGAACCACCTGGTGTGTGTGTGTGTGTGTGTGTGTGTGTGAGAGAGAGAGAGAGAGAGAGAGAGAGAGAGAGAGAGAGAGAGAGAAATACTGGTATTACAGGCATTGCGCAGATATGACACACATACAAATAATTAAAAATACGAAAATCTTAGATCTGTTGTGTTAGATCTCAAACCTAGACACATGGCTAGCCGGGAAACCTATTTTATTTATCAAAGCAGACCTGTCTGCCAGCTTCTCCTTGAATCTCTCAGTACCTACTACAGAATCAACCTTGAAGGAACTCTAGCAGACCTGAACATGACAAACCTGATTTGGCAGGCCTTGTCCTGCCTCCAGTTTCTCTTCCTTACTAAACCCATTAGATCACATTCCTAAAGCTGGGTCCCAAGAACTATTCTCTTTTTTGGCCACTTTCTCCTCCTGAGGCTAACTACCAAGGTCCAGCTGTCAAAATTCCCCTTGAGCTACATTAATTAACCTGTCCAATCAAAATTACACACCTCATCCTAACAAGAGATTTCCCCTTTTATCTCTATAAACTGCCTTTTGCCTATTGGCCACACCTGCCTCCTCTCTATCCAGAGGCAGTCTTTTGTCCCTTCTTTGTTCCCTTCCTCTTCCCCTTCTCCCTTGTTTCAGAATTTTAATTTTGGATTTTCTGTGTTCACGTTGAGAAGTCTTTTGTCTTTGTGCTTCTTGCCCTTGAATTTACAGTAGTTCATAGTATCCTGAAGACTTACACTGGGGATGGTCCTGTTTAGTCATTTACTGAGAAGCTAATAGCTATTTTCAGTCTGGAAATTGATGTCTTACATCTCTAAGCATTTTTCATATTAAAAAAATACACCTCTCCTCTTTGATTGTTCATTTCTGTTCCCCCTCTCCCTTTCCTCCTATTGCAGGAGCTTTGCCATTCACTCATCTTTGGAGCCTCTCCATTTTTATAAATCGAGCCTCTTCGACTAAGTCATTAATTTCCTCTTTTTTTCCTATTTTTCTTCTCTTCATTTTTATATTTACTTTTTTAGAGATTTATTTCCCTATTCTGTGTCTTTTTAATATTCTTCTGTGAGAAGCCTATTATTATACTCTTGATAATTTATTGCTTATATCTTTCAAATGTCTTTATCTTGCCTGTTTTTTTTTCATTTCTTTTTATGTTTTAGTTTGTATTGCCTTGTTTTTTGCTTCCAAACTTCTTGAAACATTGGGTTTCTTTTGACTGGCAGTTCATTCTTAAAAGTGTAGGTAGTAACACCCCCTCCCCCAAACACACACATACAAAAAGAAACAAAACAAAACAAACAAACAAACAAAAAAACAACAACAACTCATGAGTAGAAGGCAAGCATACCTTCTTGTGAGATTTATCTACTGGATGGTTTCCTTGCCTAGGCTTTGCTGTGTGTGGTGTATGTGGGTGTAGCAGGGTGCCCTTGGCTACTTGTCTGTCTTTGAGCTATTGAGATGCTTCAGAAAAGAATCTCTAAGTAGAAAAATAGCAAGTGTTAAAGGGGAAGTGAGAAGATAAGAATGTTTGCAGACTTCCTCTTATCTCCCTGTTTTAACCTCCTTTTCTTGACATTTCCAGAAGTTTTTGTTTGTTTGTTTTCTAGAGAAAACTGTCTACAGTGTTGATGGGACTAGAACTGTTTCACAACCCACACCCTAGCCAATTTATGCCCACACCTTTATTGTCTTACTCTTTGAGGGGACTAATTTCCTTATCTGTGAGCCTTTCTGGGGTTCTATGGAGGCAAACCAGCTTTCTTTTGGCTTCCCCTAAATAAAGTTTGGCTTTATTGGATGGGCTCCACGGCTCACCACACTCTCATCTCTTTAGTAAAACTTTGGAGTGTGTTATCTTCTACTTATCTCCTTTGTGCTTAGGGTCTGCAGATGTGTTCCATCTAGTCTGTCCATTACTAGTTGGACTTGAAGAGTCAGGATCAGGAATCTCTAACAAGGCCACCTCAACATGCATAGGGCAGCTATGTATTCAAGTTTTTCTATAGGTCTCAAGAGGAAACCAAGCTTCATGTAGTATTCTGGTTCTGGAGCCAGCTGTCTTTACCATATAGCAAGTTCCCTCTTTACATTATGGATCCCCTCCCTTTCTTCATCCAATATATTAAACAAATTTTGCAATTATTCCCCCAAACTGTTCTTGTATTGGAACTGTCTTTCTCTTGGTGTATTCTAGCCCTTCTTATCTTTCTCCTAGTTTTCAAGTAATAGGACATATCCTAACTCCCCACTTTCTTCCTAGACCCTATACCAGTGGTCAAACTGCATTTGAAGAGTTCTAGTGTCAGGATTCATAAATTATTAAAATGTTAAAAATTGTAAAGCCAACCTAAGGTTGTCTTTCTCAAAAAAAAAAAAAAAGTTCACCAAGAAAGATGCAAACAAGTGCCTTATAACTGTATTGATTTTAAAAAATACCACTGCTCTATGCTCCAAAGTTTTTATTATAAGCTCTCTGGTTTTTCTTTCTTTGTTTGTTTGGGTTTTTATGTTTTAGTTTTGTTTTTTCTTAGGAAGGGTTGTTTGGTTTTTTGTTTGTTTGTTTGTTTGTTTTGTTTTTCAAGATAGGGTTTCTCTGTGTAGCCCTGGCTGTCCTGAAACTCACTCTGTAGAGACCTCAAGCTCATAGATTTGCCTGCTTCTGTCTCTCTAGTGCTAGGAAAAAAGACATGTAGCACCACTGTCCTCCAGTGTGTTAACATGTTATCTGAAAGCCCTAATCAGACTTGAATTGTTCTTCTGATTATCTTCTTCATTCAAACCTAAACACCATTAACTTCTGATCATTTTTTGATAAGTTCCTATCTCTGGTTCCTTTATCAATAAATGTACTAAGTACCTTCCATTGTTTGGAGTAAGTTCATGAGTGTATTGCACACCGGAAAATAGCTGAACTAGTAAAGGTAAATGGCTCAAGAAGTTCACTAAAGTGGCTTGAAAGCGACAGGAGCATTAAATGTAGTGTTGCTGCTTTTGGACCAGCCTCTCCAGGAAGAGCATTTCATTTAAGAGCTGGTTTGCCAGGGGACTCAGGGACACTGCAGGGAGTAGAGGATGTGGTGACTAAGGCATAGAACTTCTCTGTAACAGAAAACTCAAGAATATTTGCTCCTCTGGATGAGGAACAGAAAGCCATTCTTTATGATCGTGCCTTCACTTATTTACATATAGTTTTGAGGGAAAAATTTGGATTCTCAGTACAGGGTGTAAAAGTCTAAGCTATTGGGAGTAGCTACAAAGACATCTTTTGAGAAAGAACATGGTTTTAAGTGGCAAATATTATTCCAACTTCATATGTAAGGTCAAGTCTGATCCCATTAATGAAACAGAGCAGGAAGTCTGTCAGGAATTTCAGAGCTGGCACAAAACATGGCAGACATGAGACTTCCTGGAGCACATTCGAAGTCTCCACGGACTGTGGATGCCTCCTGTGGTTCCTCAGGCTTTGCTCTGCTTCCAGGAAACCACCTGCTTGGCCTCACCTCTTTAACATTTTATGAAGCCAACGAGTTTATTAATGAGATATATTTGTTAGTGTTTGTGGTTCTAGGGATTGGATACAGGGCTTTTGAAAGCTGATTGAGGGAAGCTCTTGACCACTGACCCACACTTCAAGCCACAGTGAAGTAGATACAAAATGGAAGCCTGTGCAGGAAATCATCTGAAAACAAAAACTTTTAAACTCAAAGAAGAGTGGGATACAATTAAATTCAGTTGTAGCCAATTCGATTAAATTTAATTAAATTAATTAAAGCGATAATATTTATGAACAGGAAGACAAGTTGTATTCCGTGATAGAGAAATATAACATAAAAGTGCTCATGTTCAGAAATGATCACACAGTATCATATGGGTTAACCTTTCAGATTTTTTTGATGGATGAATTCTTTTTTTTTAAAATTTTTTAAGATTTTTTTAATTTTTAATTTTTATTTTTATTAATTACACTTTATTCACTTTGTATCCCCTCATAAGTCCCTCCCTCCTCCCCTCCTGATCCCACCCTCCCTCCCCCTTCTTCACCCATGCCCCTCCCCAAGTCCACTGATAAGGGAGGTCCTCCTCTCCTTCCTTCTGATCTTAGTCTATCAGATCTCATCAGGAGTGGCTGCATTGTCATCTTCTGTGGCCTGTTAAGGCTGCTCCCCCCTCAGGGGGAGGTGATCAAAGAGCAAGCCAATCAGATTAGATGGATGAATTATTATGCTGACATTATAATTTTCTATGCCAACATCAAATTCTAAAGAAGAAAATTCCAAAAAAAAAAAAAAAAAAAAAAGGAAAATATCTGTCTGTAGATGCCAGTACCCAGGCACTATGCAAAATGCAAATGTTTTATATATTGCTTACAACTATGCATTTTCATAAGAAACTAATTATATGTGGGAGAAGGCTAGACAGAGAAGAAAACTATGTTTGGCTCATAAAATGTATGGAACAGTTACAATATTTTCATGAGCTTTGCATTTTTAAAAGATTATATGATAAGACATGTTTAAACATGATAAAGTGAATGGTCCTTAGTGAGAGTCCTATTTGGAGGAATTGTTCTCAGGAAACATCTTTACATTAAATCTTGATTTTATTACGGACCCTATTATTTGGGGGCATATATTTTCAGATCTTAGCATTTCTTTCATTATTTTCTAGCAGATTCTACACATTTCTAGCATATTCTATCAAATATGCTATTCTAGATACAAGAATAATTTTGATGTATTTTTTGTCTCAATTCTTTGTGTAGTTGCTATCAGGATAATCTTCTTTTCATAGAGCTATATATAATGGAACTTGACATTATATATATATAACTTGACATTAAAAATAACAGATCCACTCATACTTTGAGTATGAGTGACATGACCCTACATAACAGACTGAAGCTACTCTGGAATCCATGTTCTGCTATTGTAGGGATTGCATAGACTTCTGAAGCTACAGCACAAAGGAAATTATAAATCAATCTATCCAGAAAATACAGTGGGGGAACTAGGAAAGTGGGCTATGGCAAGGAGGGGTTAATATGATTCAGATAGTATTTTAAAGCATCATGTTATAGGTTGGTGGAGGCTAAATGCCACTTAACAGTATGTTTCAAAAGGCTTACCCAATGGTCATCAGAAAATTATCTCCTACAACTAAACATAGATAACTATTCTCTAAAGCATAAAGCTAGCCAAGATACCTTTTGTTCTCCACCTACATTCCACCTTTCCATAACTATGATACTTATTTGCTGACATCAGTTTGCACAATCTTGAGCATGGATGGCAGTCCCTCAGAGAACATGTGTAGGTTAACTTGTCTTTCTTTTCTTCTCTTCCAGGTCTACCCAAAGCAGCTGTGATTAGTCAGTTGCAGGTGTTGAAGGGCTCTGTTGGGCTATGGGCTTTTGGCTGCACAGCTGATGACATTGTTTATGTAACTCTCCCACTGTACCATAGCTCAGGGGCTCTCCTGGGAATTGGTGGATGTGTTGAGCTGGGTAAGTCTTTATTTTTTGTTGTTGTTTGTTTTGATAAGTTATCACAATATTTTAATCAGAGCTTATGTTCATCAAAACTTAAAGTATTGCACAATTACATTGTAATAATTGTGAAAAGGACACATTTTCAAAACATAGCATATTCTTAAACTACAAAGGCCAAAGACCTGAGCATTTGCCCTTGTGATTTCAGCAGTTTATAGACTCCCTTGTGGTTACTCATTCTCCAGGAGACTGGGCCCAGGTTCCCCAAACAGTAACTCAAAAGGAGTAAATATTTCAGCTGCATGATGGTTTAACACAAGCTCTGAAATCATAAAAATGACTTCAGCAGCATTCTTCTGAACAAAACAAGTCAAAGTGCACACTAGAGTCTAGATATGAATGTGGGAACATAGACTGCACCTCTTCCAGGCAAAAAGAGCAAGTTTGTATTACCCAGATGAGTGAGGGGAAGGAATTGAAGGCCTGATTCTTTTCTCCCCACAGTCTGTCCCAAACACTCAAGAAGTCTTGTGATGGAGTTTATGATTCAGTAAATTCCATTTGTAGACATGCAAGATGCTGTTTCATTTGCCAGCTCTGAAATAATAGAGCTCACTCATTACTGCTAGTTTATGCCTGATGTATGATTGCAGGCTATTCAGAGCATGATCAATATTCACAGGAAAGAAGTACCAAATGTTAAAAGCATATGTGTGAATTTGCATGGAGACATATGTTGCTGTCAAGATAGGGTTGTTAGAAGTAAAGGAAGTGAGTGATCATAGTCATTTCTCCACAGACACAGCAAGTGATCGATCATACATACACATATAGATCATCGTGAGAGTTAAGGAAACTGGGCGACAGTCCAGAGACCTGATTTTAGAATAACAGAAAGGGAATACTGAACACATCATGAGGGAAGGAGCTGCCGTGTTGCCTCTTATCTAAGTGTAAGCTGTTCATCAGAGGCAGGGGGGAAAAAAAGGAAAGAGGGAGACAGAGACAGAGAGATTCTTTGTGGAAGAGAGAGGAGAGGGGCGTTTGACTAGGTCTGTTCTTTTGTTTGTTTGTACGTTGGGTGGTTGTTGTTTTTTTGTTTTGTTTTTCAAGACAGGCGTTTCCTGTGTATCCTTGGCTGTCCTGGTCTACAAAGCAATTCTCTTTGTAGACCAGGCTGGCCTCCAACTCATAAAGATCCACCTGCCTCTGCCTCCCTGAGTGCTAGGATTAAAGGCATGCACCATCATGCCCAGCTTCTAGGCCTGTTCTAGTAACAGACCTTGTGTGGTGGAATCCACTGCCAGCCAGAGCCCCAGGGACCTTACTGCCACAGCAATACCTGTTACAGAATGAGCTGTGTAAATGCCTTAGACTGGTCTCCTAACTTTGCCTATCACCCCTTCTTGAACAAACAGCGGTAGAGTGGCAAGCAGGACTCCATCCACCGAGAAGCAGGGCATGAAAACAAGCACGGGTGTTTCTCTTAGAACTCAGAGCCATTAAACACTGGGTAGTCATACTGAGGAGTGACTTTACTCATGGATGCAAGTCCAAGAGAACTGAAAACATGCAGTCACACCTGGCCATGGTGTGTCAGTTACCATTATTGTTGATAGCCAAAAAATAGAATCAATCTAAATACATAAAATATTACATATCTATGGGAATACTTAGCCACACAGAGGATGAAGTATTGGTACAATCTTACAAGATAAACAAACCCAAACTATATTTCATAGTAACTGAAAGGGCTATGAAAAGACACACGTGTCACATTCGTCCAGAGCAGGAAAGTTTAGACAGATGTATATAAATGGTCGCCTAGGGTAAGGGAAGTTGGAAATTGGAATGCCTGCTAAGGTGATGGGGTTCCTTTTGGGGTAACAAAAATAACTGCCCTCGATTTAAATGATAATTATGGCAGTTTTGTAACTATGTAAAACGGCACTGGATTATATACATTAAATTTTGAATTATTTGTTATTGTGACTTATATCCCAATTAGAGATAGGAAACTGTCTTAGTTAGTGTTTTATTGCTGTAAAGAGACACCATGACCATGGCAACTCTTATAACGAAAGCATTTAAATGGGCTGGCTTACAATTTCAGAGGTTTAGTCCATTATCATCATGGCAGAACACAGCGGTGTTCAGGCAGACACGGTGTTGGAAAAGGACCTGAGAGTTCTATATATTGATCCACAGGAAGCAGAAGGAGACAGTGTGTCACACTGGGTGTAGCTTGAGCATATGAGATCTCGAAGCCCATCCCCATGGTAACATACTTCCTCCAACAAGGCCACACCCCTAACAGTGCCCCTCCCTCTGGGCCCAGAATTTAAACCTGTGGGTCTGTGGGGCCCACTCCTATTCAGACACCACAGACACCATGTTAAAACATATTATTAAACCTAGGTAGTATAACCAATTAATGACATTTTTGTTGGTGGGATTTTAGAACAACTTATTAAATCTTTACTTAGGAGTATGAGGAATCTCCTTTAAAGTCTTCACAACAAACTGCATGTTTTTGTGCAAGGATAAAATGAGTTGATATCCCTTATCTCTGAGAAGGGTGGATGGGTGCCTGTGGCCATACACAGGTAATTCAAATGCTGGTGCTACACATGCACTTCCAATACCTGTGGTTCACATGTGAACTTCCAATGCTCATAGCAATACACATGTAATTCCTACTGATTTTGAAGGTGCTTTCATTCCACAGATTGGAAAAAGCACAGCTGCAGCCTATACATTCGTAGTTCACATGACTACATCAAAAGGTTATTGTACCAAAACGATCATGTTTCCAAATAAATTTGCTACCAGTGGCTGAGGGGTGAGTTATGAAAGCACCAGAAGTGAGTGAACACACATCCGTGTTCACAGTAACTTCATGTCTGGTTTTACCTCTCCTCATAGGTGCCACATGTGTGTTAAAGAAGAAATTCTCTGCAAGCCAGTTTTGGGATGATTGCAAGAAGTACAATGTCACTGTGTTTCAGTACATTGGGGAACTTTGCCGTTATCTATGCAAACAACCTCAGGTAAGAGAGAGATCATTACTGGAGGCATGAAGGATTTCAGACAGAATACTCACGGCAGTGGACGGGGAGGATTTTATTCTTTGCTTTCACTCCACAGTCCTCCAGAACACGATTTATCAAAGACACAGAAGAGCTTACAATATACAAGATAAAATAAATATAAAAGTTCAAGAAAATGAGAGGGGGACCATCCAGGAAAGGATTAATAATATGCTTTGTTCTGTACCAGGACAGGTCAGATCCATAATCTAGTCCACTTCAGGTTCAGGCTAATCCAAGTTTTATTATGAAATTAGATGCATATTATCTTTATAGAAAAATAACTCCACCTGTAGAGAAGATAATACTTAAAAATTCTTGGCTTTAAAAATGACACCAATTATAGTTTTCTATTGAATAAATGATTACCGTGGGTGTATCCCTGTTAGGTTTTTTTTTTTTTAATTTTTAAAGGAAACTTTATTTTCTACCCATCCCCTAGCCCCTCAAAACAGTCAGTCTGGCATGCTTTTGATCAGTCCCTGCTGCATGAGAAATAGGTAAGTGCAGAGATTCGACAGAGCCCACTGTTTGTCTTTGTGGCTTATTTGCTTTTTCTGTCCTTGATTTATTCTGGCCTCATTTATCTTTCCAAATGCTTGAAAAACAACTTTCTGGCTTTCTAAGCACTCTTGACAGCTAAGAAATCTTTTTTTAATGAAATCAATACCCACCTCTTCCAGAGAGGTTGGTCCCCTTAGTGAGAAGAGACAGCAGAGCCATGGCTCTGAGCTATACCCCCAGGCCTGAGTTCCCTCACTCAGCATATTTGCCAAGCTGGGGATGAAGGGTAGACTTGGGCAACACTTTTGTCTTTCCTGGTTAAAATATTAACATTACTTCTTCCACTAATTATTTTCAGTCCAGAAGAAACTAAGTTGGGAGCCCTAAATAAAACTTTATTAAATACGTGGGATTGCACAGGACAGATCAACACAGAAAAGAATGTGAATGTGGATAACCAGATCTATAGGATATTTTTATTTATGGGTTTGGAGTTCACCACGGGAAGACTTCTTGTCCTGTCTGTGTGTATGTTTGGTTTTGGAGATGAGGTTTCTCCGTGTAAACTTAGCTGTCCTGGACTCAATAGACCAGACTGCCAACTTTCTTCTTTTTTCAGAGCCATCTATATTATTTTTTATCAAAAAATTTACATTGATTTAAAGAACATTTGGCTTCATCATCTTTTCTTATCATCATATATATAAATGTACATGATGTTTCAAACCATGGTCTAGGAGATACCCAGTGTTGCCTCCATTCTGTAAGCCGACCTAAGTTGCTGCTTGCACTATTTCAGTGTATTATTTGTAGGGCTTGCATGGAAAGTTGGAACATAATTTGGTTTTAAAGAGGCATAGGTGTGTGCTGGGGACATTCATGCATGCATGATTATCGTTAAGGTTTAGGAACAAGACATGGTACTTAGAATCAGAGTGGAAGGCTCAACATCCCTACCATCTGATGTTGATGCTTTTAGGTGAACATTTCAGAATGAAACCTGTTTCCTGCAGGAAACAGCTCACCACGCCGGGCTGCAGGCAACGGTCATTTGGTTTTGCCTTCAGTTTTCTTGCTTCTGCCTCTACATGTAGCAATGAACATTCTCAGTTCCTTAAAGCTTAAAGTTATGGAGAATTTTCTGCATTTAAAGAGAAAAGTCTGAAGTGTCAGCTTCCTTTGGCATCTAAAGAAGGTCTTCAGCCCAGGTGTGTTAGGGTTTCTCAGAGGTGGATGGAGTTTGTCTGCTAGAAGAAAGAGACTGTTTCTGAGAAGAGATTGCTGACCTGGTAGGAGGTAACTTCCTTTCTGATCCCTGCTGCACCAGACAGCAGATTAACAGAGAGGTTTTTAAAGAACCCAGGGCTTCAACATTGGTGTGACTCCTTTGTGGATGTCATCACACTAGTCTGGCACTTTGTACTGAAAGCCAGATGGACATGTCTACTGAGAACTAAGCCCACAGAATATCTGTGATAAAAGTTCTGACAGTGCCAAAAAAAAAAAAATCTTTTTAATTTTTCAGTGAGTCTCTAAGTGGCTGATGAATAAGGAAATATTTTCTGTGGTTTAGAAAATTGTTGTATCTAATCTATCATCTATCTATCTATCTATCTATCTATCTATCTATCTATCATCTATCTATTTATCTATCTATCATCATAATCTATCTATCTTCATCTCTCATTCTTGCTTTATGTGTGTGAGACTATCTAAATAAATACAGGAAAGCTGTAAAGGATTCTGTATGCCTTTTCAGAAACGTAAGAGAAAAAAATACTGCATCAGAGGTCATTTTTCGATAGCCTCCTGTTACTGAAACTACTAGGCTAATTTTAGTTAAAATGAAGTATAGACTTTTGAGACTTTTTCAAGTGTGTCCATAAACAAAAATAAATGGGAGAAGTATGAAAATGTCAGAGAAAAGAACACCATAGAAAAGATTACCAAAAGAATTTGTATCACTTTTTTAGGTATATAATCCATATTCAGAATCTTGTCTATGCCAGCCTTGTTGAATTACCATTGACAGGCCTTTTGAAGAGTCCCATGTAGATTGGCTAAAATGTTTATGGGATCATTTCCTGAAACAAATGTATGTTTGTTTTCCTATTCTGGAATCTAGGATAATTTTGTTGCAATCATAGCGTGTATTTTGGCTGTACCATGCACATCCCTTCTTCTGGGTGCTGGGAAGCACTTGTTCTCACAGTGTCTTCCAAATAATTTCCTCCAAGTGACTGACCTGACCATCCTTCACATAGTGGTCTGGATCCAATGAGTGACAAAAGTCTCGGTGTTTCAAAGTCTCAGGCTTCCTGTCTCCGTTTCAGAGTGATAATGAAAATAGAAAAGGTCACTGTGAAAACTGTGCCAGTTAACAAGATGGTTCTAAGTTTGTGTTAAAATCAAGAGAAATTCTGTACTTTGAACTTTGTCTATAATTTAGGAGAAAGGTCATCAACCCATAACAAGTATTTTGGGCTTGCCTCACAAGATTCTGCTCATGTATCACAAAAAATGCATAGATGATCTCCAAATAAGCAGGGAATGACTGTGCTTTATCAAAATGTTTGAAACACACAGGCAGGCCAATTGTGCTCTTTGAAGGCTGTAGTTTGCCAAGGCTTGATTTAGACTTCATGATAATATTAGACACTTATGTAAAGCGAAATTTCTATTCAAAATTTCTGCGCAATAGGATTTTGAAAGCTTTCCATTTATTTTTTTTACTTCCTCTCATATATATACATGTGTGAGAGCGATTATGTGCAGAAGTGTACACCCCCAATAACATTAACTTTTGGGCTTCCTACATAAATTTGTGATGCTACATTTTTGTTACTGTAAGTCCTTTTCATTTGTAAGCACCTACTTCTGTGTTAGCAGTTTGAATCAAGGAAACAAAATTGTGAATAATGACTCTGGCAACTTTCAATAATTATCTCAGTAACCTGTGAAATGGTAACTTTATTATATCACTCAGAGAAAACATTTTGCCATGTTTTACTTCCAGAAGTGCATGTTGGATTCTCAAGTATTGTTGAGAATCGCTTTAAAAAGTTTTGTAAGTCTACCTAGCAAGTCAACTGAAAGACTCACTCCTGACCTGGAGAACTTCTGCTTTCCAGTCTTTTCAAGTGCAGGGTATAGAGTTAAGATTAAACTAATGGACAGGAGCCTACTGCAGAGGGCCTCTGAAAGACTCTACCCAGCTGTGTATCAAAGCAGATGCCAAGACTCGTAGCCAAACTTTGGGCAGAGTGCAGGGAATCTTATGAAAGAAGGGGGAGATTGTAAGATCTGGAGAGGACAGCAGCTCTACAAGGAGAGCAACAGAACCAATAAATCTGCACCCAGTGGTCTTTTCTGAGACTGATACTCCAACCAAGGACCATTCATGGATATAACCTAGAACCCCTGCACAGATGTAGCCCATGGCAGCTCAGTGTCCAAGTGGGTTCCCTAGTAATGGGAACAGGAACTATCTCTGACATGAACTCATTGGCAGGCTCTTTGACTTCCAACCCCCTTGAGGCTGGAGTAGCCTTGCCAGGGCACAGAGGAGGACAATGCAGCCAGTCCTGATGAGAACTGATAGCCTAGGGTCAGATGGAAGGGGAGGAGGACCTCCCCTATCAGTGGACTTGGAGAGAGGCATGGGAGGAGATGACGGAGGGAAGGTGGGATTTGGAGGGATTGAGGGAGGGGGCTACAGCTGGGATACAACATGAATAAACTATAATTAATACAAAAAAATAAAAATTTAACAAATAGAAAGGAAGCGATCACTTAGGATGGGAAGTATTGGGAATAGATTGGAGAAGTAGGCTTTTATTTTTTTTTCAGAGGTGATGAACTTGAGAGTCATAAGAAGAGTTTGAAGAGGTATAGCTGGTAGAATGTAGATTAGTGGTTAACACTCTAATACAGTTACTCATGTAGTAGTGACACCAACCATAAATTTTTTCATCGCTACTTTATAACTGTATTTTTGTTGCTGTTATGAACCTAATGTAAACATCAGATAGGCAGATATCTGATGTACCATCTCAGAAGGGTTCAGGATCCACAAGTTGAGACCCACTGGTCTAGAGTGAGAAAGGAAGTGAGTGAAGTAATTGCATTTCAACTAAAATCATTTTTTTTTAAATTTGGCTAATAAAGACTATCCATTCAAAAAAAAAAAAAGAATAAACTAATGGAATCTGAATTGACTGGACATGATGCAACTCAGTCCATGAAGTAAAAAAAAAAAGTCACCCCCTTGTCATAAAATTAACACTAAATGAATGTACTAGTTCAATATGAGAAGACAAAGAAATGTTCTAGTGATTATTATCATTGCTACTTATATGATAGGAATATGTTAAACATAAATGAAGGAGTGTTAACAAGAGAAAAAGAATATATTTAAAAATGAATGGTGGTTACAATATTAAAAATAAAATAAAATTGAGAAGAATCTTTGTAGCTATTAAAACAGTATATCTGCTGAGTGTGTCATTAAGTAAAAATAATTCAATTTGCTTAAAACCGAAGTTAACTCGGTCTACAGGATACTGTTTCTTATGGAATGAGGTTTTAAGTGAAAATCCTTAGCTTTAATTTGTTAAAGTGATAGTCCTCTCCTGTTACCTTGATTTACCATTGTATGTACTGTCACCTTGAACTGAGAGCCAAAATAACCCCTTTCTTCCCTAAGTTTCTTTCATCAGAGTATTTTATCAGAACAACAGGAAAAGTAATTAAGACAAGCTAACAATTTAGAACAATATCCAGAACACACCAACAAAGTAGATTTACATAGCTGCATCACATTGTCATCTTATCAGTGAAGGCGTATGGAACTGGAAAATAACATTGCAACTAGAATTATAAATTTTGTTTCCATTTTTATTTTTTCTTTATTTGTCAAGTTTTCTATGGTGTTTGTAATTTCATTTTCTTCTGCAAGAAGTCAGTTGCCATTTCTCCATACATCTCTGAGGACACTCATCTGGGTGTTTTTTTTTTTCCTTCTTTCTTTCTTTCTTTTAAAATTTACTGTAATGTGTATGGGTAGCTTTCCTCCATAGGTGGCTGTGCAATACTTACGTGCCCAATGCCCGTGGAGGCCAGAAGAGGGTGTGAGGTCTTCTGAGAATGGGGTCACAGACAGTTCTGAGCTACCATGTGGGTGTTGGGAGTCAAACCTGAATCCTCTGCTAAAACAGCTAATTGATGAATCATCTCCCCAGGGCCTGATTTTTCGTTTGAAGGAGACACAGGTAGATAAAGAAGACTCTAGCATTAGAGGATCAAAACTGATATTTTGAACAAAGGGGTTTTGGTGATTCCTTTGACTGGTTTGGTTTGCTATATGAGCTATAGCGCTGAGATATAATTATATCTCACATTTAAAGGTTTATATAACCACAACCCATAAGTCACTTCTGTGGAATCTGATTTATAGACTCCTTTTGTATTGCCTTCAGTACCGTGCCAAGACATTTAACAATGATTCCTGATGAAGTGCACCTCTGACTTGAAAAGCATCCAAGAATTGTGTCCTATAAAAGATTGCTCTCTGCTCAAGCAAAATAAATCACAAGGCTTGCAATTCTACCGTCTTATTCAGAGAAATGGTAGTGAAAAGTCCTAGATTAGTTGCATCCCAGATAAGTAACATCTTCCAGCTCCCAGGAGGTGAGGCCAGGACATCTGCTCTGGGCTGTGTGAGAAGGAGCAGCCCTCATCCAGTGAGCTTCTTGATCCATCTGCAGAAGTTAACTGAAGCCCCTTTGATCGATGAATCAACCAACCAGTGAGCACATTTCAAAGGACTCTGTGATCTTTGCTCTTATTATACTTATTTCTATTGTTTTTAAAATCAAAGTTATAGTTTCCACAGTTAAAAGATTGAAAGAGGAGCTGGGGAAATGACCCAGTGGCTTCAGAGTGGTACTGTGATTGCAGATGCCTAGAGTCCAGTTGCCAGCACCCAGGTCAGGTGGCTCAAACCCCTAGTACCCCATGGCCAAGGGCTCTGACCACTCTGACCTCCACAGGCACTTTTTCTCACTTGCATATACCCAGGTACACACAGTTAATTTTAAAAAGTTGGAAAAGTTCTGAAGAAGTGGTTCTGGGAAGGGTAAAATGGCTTGAGGTGTAAACAAAAGGACCTGAATTCACATTCCTAACACTCTCCTGGAAAGCCCAGCAAGGCCTCACTTACCTGTCTAACTTGGCTTGTCTCACTTACGTCTGAGATTTCCCTTGTCTTGGTTTCTGCAGCTTGTAAACCTGTGTGCAGTAGGGATGTTGCGGAAGGAGATCTTGTGGCTGTTTTACAGTTATGACTCAAAAACAGGAAGATTATCCTACTATCCTAGAGATGCAATCCAGTGCCAGAGGCCTGTAAAGTAGAGACCTCTGTCTGACTGCAAGCAAGAAAGGTTTTGCAAGTGTGATTTGGGGAGCAATGAGTCATGTGACATCTCTACAGCAAACTCCCATGTTACAAGGTCCACATGGGCCATGAAGAGGGGAGCCCAGACAGATGTTGTCTGTATCTGTGACACGAGTGTGAAAGTGCTTAAGAATGATACTCCCCCTTGAAGTAGTGAGTTCTGGGTCATTTTGAGGGGCTACTGGTAAATTAGCCCTTTCTTTACATCTCAAATTTTTCCTAGAACAGAGATGAGCCTTTCTTAGTATGGGATGTAAATTAGTTTTCTTTAGGACCAAAAGGTGTCTGTAGTTCCCTATGTTGTTTGCTACCTTCTAAAGAGTAGCCTGGCATCATCATCATCATTACTGTTGTTGTTGTTGTTATTGCTATTAGTATTCAATTAGTATTCAATAACCACATACTGTTATAACTATCTATGCACATCCATATCCATAGATATATAAACATATATGCATACATCATAATCAATTTGTATTTGACTCTTTGCATACATGTCATTTTACTAATATATGTAATTTTATATGTAATGTCCTTTAATGGACAGTGTTTATACATTTGTAAACATATACACACATATGTATATCCATGAATATACTTATTGATATCATGAGAAAGAGAACTTTTAAATATTTCTTTTTTAATAGTATACACACATTTTTTTCAAAGTATTGGTTTTGCTACATGCTGTAAGCTTTCACCTTTCTTTTTGGTTAAAAAATGCTTCCAATTTCTGTGGTATTTTTTTCTTCTACTCACTGGGTATTTAAAACTGTTTTATTATTTGTAAACTTGCCTGATTTGTGTAATTGGTGTCAGGCAATGCTTTGGATTAGATTAAGACTTGCTACAAGATTAGCTGTATGATTGATGTATTTTGCTAAAGGCTTTATGAACATTGGAAGAGGGTGTATGTCCTTTGGTGATATCTCTTAATGTTGTGTACACATAAATTCTCTCAAGCCAACTCATTTTCTTTGTGCTTCTCTGTTCCTACGATTCTTTTCCTACCTATTCAACCAGCACCAGAGAGGGGCTGGCAATGGAGGTTACCTGTTGCTTCTCTCTTTCTGCAACATGTTTATACTTACATATTTTGACTGTTACTTGATGAAAAGGAATCCAACATTATCCTTCTGGTGTATTATTAAATGTTCTTCTCTGTTTGCTGAAACATTTCTGTAATTAAAGTCAGCCACACAGCACAGGCTATGCTTGTGCTAGCTTCTCCTTGTGTGAGGGTTGCAGGGCATTCTTTCCCAGCCTGACTGCTCTCAAGTATTGTATCAGCTGATACTGCGGTTTGTTATCCCATTGTTGTGATAAAACACTCTGACAAAAGCAGTTTAAAAGGAAAAGGCTTTATTGTAGCTCATAGTTCAAGGTCGGCTTATCACAGCAGAGAAGGCAGAAATGATACTATACCCACCACACTATCCCATCCTCAAAGAAAAGAGCAGTAATTTTTGCTCTATGTTCAAGAAACATAGCATCAGCTGGGTGGCTGTATGGCACTCCTTTAATCCCAGCACTCAGGAAGACAGACACAGGTGGATCTCCGTGAGTTTGAGTCCAGCTTGGTGTACAGAGTGAGTTCCAGGACAGTCAAGACTGCACAGAGAAACCCTGTCTCGACAACCCCCCGCCCCCCCCCAAAAGAAAGAAAAACATAGCATCCATTAACATGAATAATGCACATTTAAGTTCAAGTAAGACTGCATTATTATTGTAATCATGGTAAATTGATAATTTGCTCAGAACTACTTCTGGTTAATATGTAAAAGCAATATTAAATTAGCAATAGTAATGATAAAGTAGAAAAACCAATGGCCTTGATACTGACAATTTAATACGACTACTTGTTCACAGTAGGTTTCTCTAAGCACCAGCAAAATGGTTTTGAATGAAACATTTTAGTCTGTAATTGCTCAAGAATAAATAGAAATGAATGAGAAGTGATTTGGGAAACTAAAAAGTGAGCAAATAAAAAGATGTGATGAAGAGTGGATGAGGCAGATACATAAGCCTATAGGAGAGGGCCCAACAAATGCTCCTCAAGGTCCAGAAATTGTGAGAAAGAATGAGGGAGCTACGAAGCTTGCCTGTGAAGCCTGCCTTGCTTAAATGCTAGAAAAGTTACTCTCTGAATTCCAGATATAAAGAAAACCAGTTTGGGTGGAAAAGTTATAGGAACAGGAGTGTTTAATGAAAGTGCATTTCAGATGAAGGGGAACCACCTTGCGCTAATTACAGTTCTGAGGTTACGAACAAGAGCAATAAACTCTTCAGTTATCAGACAAGTTAATTCTAAGGATTTGGTTTTTACTCTTACTTCCTCAGTTGGGAATTGGGGCGGGGGGTTGCCCATTGGCTGCAGTATTATACAGGTAATAAATGATAGGCCTAGGAAAATAAACTTAAATATTTCATAGTCCTTTATAAGGTTTGTTCATCTTGAAATAAAGTTCCTCCCTTTCTAGTATATTTACCCCCCAAAGGGTCTTTGCAACTTCTAATTTGGAAAGAACGTCCCCTACCCCTCCCACCCAGCAGTTATGGAGAAGAACCAGACACATCCCTCCCGCCTAGCATTCTCTACTGTGGATGATTCTCCAACAGGACCCCGTGGTTTCCTTGTTATGTTTGCTTCTCTCTTCTGTTAATGCACATGCCGCATTTACTTTCAGGACTGTTGTCATGTAAATAACAGTAATAAAAGAGAGAGTGGGGGAACTAGAATTATTTACAAGTGCAGTCTTTCCTTATAACAGAGAGAAGGGGAAAAGGACCATCGGGTGCGTTTGGCAGTCGGAAATGGTATGAGCAGCGAAGTGTGGAGACAATTTTTAGACAGATTCGGAAATATCAAAATGTGTGAATTTTACGGAGCTACGGAAGGAAACATAATTTTCATGAACCACACTGGCAAGATTGGATCAGTTGGGAGGACAAACTTTTTTTACAAAGTAAGTATAGAGCGTTCTGTGGAATCACTGAGGTCCACAGATTCTTATCTATGGCTTATACTTCTGCGCTGTGAGAATCCCCACCTCATTTTTTTGTAGCTGAGAACATTTGCAAAGCTAAGAGTGACTGTGAGGAGTTCTGAAAACTCCAGTCCTCTGCCGTGCGCTCCTTCCGTATCACGAAGACAATTATGGCTAACTTTGTTCAGTTGTCTAGTTAATGTTTAATAGTGAAACATAAGTCCTGAAGAGAGCTCTTCATTCCTCTTGCCTGTTTTTCTTTCACTACTCCTTATCTTTTATCATTTATGCCACATACATTATAAAAGCTCCTGGTACACAGCAATAATACATATTTTTAAGAATAAAAGATTCAAAGCAAACTCTGGAGAGCTAGATCAATGAATGGATGGAACACTTAACTGCTTGTCCAGAGAACCCCAGCACCATGTCAGGCAATTAGTCACAGTCACCTGTAACTCCAGCTCCATGGGATCTGATGCCTTCTGCTGGCTTCTTCAGGTATGTGCACCCCAGGGCATTCACTCACAAGTACACATAAATAAAATAAATTTTAAAAATTCTTAAGAAGGGCACAGGGGTCTTTTATGAGACTGTTTCTCCAACTAAGGACCATGTATGGATATAACCTAGAACCTCTGCTCGGATGTAGCCCATGGTAGCTCAGTATCCAAGTGGGTTTCCTAGTAAGGGGAACCGGGACTATTTCTGACATAAACTCAATGGCTGGCTCTTTGACCTCCTTCCCCGCACCCCGAAGAAGGATCAGCCTTGCTAGGCCATAGAGGAGGACATTGCAGCCAGTCCCGAAGATACCTGATAAGCTAGGGTCAGATGGAAGGGGAGGAGGACCTCCCCTATCAGTGGATTTAGAGAGGGGCAGGGAGGAGATGAAGAAGGAGGGTGGAATTGGGAGGCAATGAGGGAGGGGGCTATGGCTGGGATACAAAGTAAAGAACCTGGGATTAATATAAAAAAATAAAAATTACCAAAAAAAGAAGGGTAGAATTTTTGCTAAAACAACCACAAAACTTGTAAAGATAATTTTGTCTAAAAAAGCATCTCAAGGGGAAATAAACAAAATTGCAATGGTATAGGATATTTGAATAAAACAATAAACAAGCTACTTAAACTAAAGGATATATATGGGACCTGTATCTCTTAAATATATAATGCCCACTCTTTTCATGCACTTGGGGAACATTAACAAACATTACTACAGTGCTTAGGAAATTTAACATTTTTTTTGCATTTATGTGAAGACGGCATTTTGAAGCTGAAGCATCTCACAGTAGCTTCCAACAAGAGTGTTGAAGGTAACTTGTCTTTATACTTCTGGCTTAACTTCCCTATAGTTTCCTCCTGGAAGACTGCTGTTGTGTCAGTAATATAAAACATCACAATAGTCTCCAATATTTTTTTTGGAAAAATATTGATTTTCAATTTATTTAGTTCACTGGTTCATAGTTTGAATATTTTTAAAAAGTTGTACCTAACACCGTGCAAATTCTGGTCTGTGTTCTTATCATTTCAGCCACCTGCTTTCGGGTTTTGGTGCAAATAAAAAATATTTCAATGGTTATTCCATCATTAAGCAAGGTGGTTATAACTATGTCTCTTGAAACTTGAAAGCTTACTACTGAGGGAGGAATCAGTTTCCTACTAGAGAGATGTGAGTGAAGGATTTCTCCTTCACTGTAACAAACTCCAATATGCAAGTGCATAAACTAGAGAGATAGCATCCCATAAATTTGCATGATTTAAGCAAAATAGAAATCTGAAAACAATATGAGAAGCAAATTCAAATCAACGTTATGGGCAGCCACCAACTTTTCTGTGGTAATTTCATCTGGGGAAATAATTTGGGAAGGCTAAACATAAAATCTATGGAGGGCAGAAGCCTTGAAACAAAGGAAATTATAGCTATATACAAAAGGCAGCTGAGGAAATACAAAGTACGTCAAAATAGTAAGTGCTTCAACATGGCCAGTAAATGTTTTCAAATATTTTTTTCAATAGACTCAGTAAAAGATCACAATAGAGATCTCATTTAAACACGAGATTAGGTTTCAAGGAAAATATAGATTAACAAAGGAATTAGAAACTAAACATGCTCAGCTTAAAGGAAATAAACAAAAAATGAAGCTATGATAGAAATGAATACCACATAAAAAGTTTAAAAACAAAACAGATCATAAACATTGTTAGGAAAAAGATGAATAGGATTAAGGAGTTGTGCACATAAGTAAAAAGATAGTTCTTAAGTGTAGACAACTCTGGCATGTGCTTAATTGTTCTTGCAGGAAAGTGCTGGACACAGGGAAAAATAATTCTTTTGACAACACTAGAAGAAAATGCTCATAAAGATTTGAATCTTTAACCAAAGAGCATATGATGTTCCAGTAAATGAAGCATTGTACAGAATAACAAACATGAAAATATAAACTAGTGAAATGAATGAACAAAATGTAAAGAGCCAGGTGATGCTAAGGGGAAAAAAAAGTATCGGATGTAGAAAGCATAGCTTGGTTGACAATAGGACATGGTTCAGGTATCTCTCAAAATGCTAACAAAATAACGAAGGCCAGACAGAAAAGAAATATCTTCATCCTTCATTTAGAGATTTTGGTAATAGATACAGTGCTCTGCCAGTATAAAAGCAACAACGGAGTTCCCTAAAATAAAAGTTTTACAAAGAAACAGAGGATAAAACACATATGTATTATAAGAAGGATTCTAAAAAAAAAGTATTGAAAGAAAACATTTGATCAATCTCAAGATAAAACAAAACTTTGAAAAAGTCTCCTTTAATTTTAAAAGTTTAGTGGTCAGCATTAAATACAGACTAAACAGATCCACTTTATGTCTCTAAGTGGAATGGAAATGAGATCTGAAAATATAAAGTACATGTATTAACAACATAGATAGCAGAGAAGACCTGTAGGTGGTATTTCTTCCATAGCAGTAAATCCAGGGAAACAATACAAAAAATAAAATATAAATTGTTGACAAGCCTATTTCCTGATATGTTTTACAAGCTGTTTTTAACCCTCTTAAATGTAAGCATCTCTTCACCATAAGCAAAGTTCACCAAATGCAAAGTTAGAGCACTTTCAATTTCAGGAGCCTCTAAGACCACCGTTAGGCTTGACAGTTGACAGGACTCAGTTCACTGGAAGCTGTTATACTCAAGGTTACAGCTCAAGGTTACAGTCTAAATCCAGCCAAGGGAACAGCTCATGGGCAAAATCCAGGAAAGTATCAAGGGCAAGGCTATGTGTTTTCCCTAGAATCAGAACAGCTCTGCAGCCCACAGACTGACCTCCATTTCCTCCTGCTTTTGGGATGGAGATGGATGATCCAAAGCTCAGCTACATCATTGTTGACATTGCTTGAAGACCCCCTTAAAAATATCATTATTATCTAGTTGACCTAAGCATCTTAGACAGATGAGTGCATTCCTGAAAAGAACAACCTCTCAGGGTCTTAGAGACAATCAATAAGAAACTGAGGGTGAAGGCCAAGAATCATGTTAGACACAGTCAGATAGCCTAGCTCCAATGTCAACTCTGCAGCTATTGGACTTCATAACTTGAGTGAGTTCCTTTTCTCTGGCTTAAATGTTCCTCATATATTATTCGAGGAAATTACTTTTGGGTTCCTCAGCAATATAGACATTTCTGTACCTGAATATAGGAAGACATACAGGTGGGGCTGGAGAGATGTTTGAGCGGGTAAGAGTGCTGGCTGCTCTAAAGGCCCTGTGTTCAATGTGCAGCACCCACATGGTAGCTAACAATATCTGTTAAGTCCAGCACCAAGGTATCTGATGCCACTCCTGGCCTCTGTGGGCAATGCATGCACACCGTGCATACACATGCTTTCAAAACATTAATAGTAATAATAATAATAATAATAATAATAATAATAATAATAATAGAAAGGCATGTGGGACTCTTGGAGCTATTGTGTAACCATGCAACTGTGGACGAAACAGTTTGGAGGAAAACACATCAATATTGCTGTGAACAGGACCTCATACAGAGACACATGTGTATGATTTAATTTGGGACTTTAAAGTGTAGTAACTATTTTTATTTGAGATACTATAGCATAGACATTGCTGCAATCTCTTTGGAGCCTCTTAAAGATAGAAAGGAGAAGAGAGATGCTTCTTTAGGGGTACATTTATGCTTCACTCCAGACTACTTTCAAAGATGTTATAATGTGTTTAACTTCACTTGAAGCTATAAAAGTACCCCTGCCATCACCAGACTCACTGACAGTAATTCACTAGGAAGTAGCTCTCATGAGTGTATACGTTACCAAATTAATTGAAAGTAAGTAGCATCAAAATTGATATCTGAAGTTGCTGGGAAACTACTTAAAAAGTATAAAATAAGAGAGAAAAGGATGGGTGGTGGGAAGAGCTCTCTCTTCCTGTTGGAACAAGGTGATAAAGGCTGGACTGAATGTCTGGAATCTTCCCACCAGCCGTTAGGCAAGCATAATAGCATCATGTTATCAAAGCAACAAAACCAGCATGGTATAAACATGTGTCTTAATAAAGAATCTCTCTGTAATGAAGAATAGTGTGTTTCCTTTGCAGCCTCTTTGGGGGGTCCTGGTCTTCAAATGGGATCACATTAGTTACTCCCTCATACCGAGTTCCCATGCCTAAAAAGAACTCCTACGATCTTGGCACTTTGGCTTAGATGAAGTGTTCTATTGACCTAAGATGCTGTCATTTAAACTGAATTAAAATGATGATTTGGTTTGGGGGTGGAAGTAAGAGAGCTCACTGGATAAAAGTGTCCATCCCAGGCACCACATGGCAGAGGGAGAGAATTAACTTCCAAAATTTGTCTTCTGACCTACACACACACACACACACACACACACACACACACACACTAACATGCACACTAACAGTAAATAACTAAATACAATTAAAAAAAAAAAACCTTTTGGATGTTGAATTGTGGTTCTGCTCAAATGTTGTTTTCACTGACTGCGTACCAAATATGGTTCTACTTATACTTTGATACTAATATCATATTTATCTTAGTTAATCTATTTATTTTTCTAATTAACTTGTTCTTATTATGCATTTTTAAAAAAATCTTCATTGCCTCTTCTCCCTCCTTATTTACTGGCTTCTGTTATCTTATCACCTCCATGTTAAATCTGTTTTCTAATTCTGTTTAATAAGCTTACATGTTTAAATGGCCAATAAAACCACATGTTTCTTTTAAATAAAATTAGGGCGTTGGCCTGGCCAATTTTCAGTTCACTTTCAGGTCAGGCTTGATGGAATGAATATGTCAGCACGACACTGTGAGGCAGCCACCACAGGATGAGGCAGCTGAGACCTTCTGAAGATGAGGGGGATGGACATCAGTTTTCCTGGCTTCTTAAGTGAGGAGGACATTCTGTCAAACACATCTTCTTATGCCACAGAGGCATACAGACTACAAGTTAGCTTAGAATAGTTAACTTGAAAGGCCCAGAGGAAGCCAAACAGTTGTCAGGCAGCTGTAGGCAGTTGGTCACCTTTCTGGAGGCCTTGAGGAAAACAAAAATCCTGATAGTCAGAGCTCATATCTTACTGCTGTTTAAAATTTGCTCTTAAAGAAGATGTTTTCCAAGACTATGAAACAGATCCTCCTGTTCCCCATTAGAAGAATGAATAAGTCAGTGCCTGGTACCTTCTGTGGCTTGCTTTCACTCCTTTATGGGAAAATCCTAGCAGTGTTAAGGTAAAACAAAGCATGAAGGAAACAAAAATGAATGTCCGTTAGGAAGGGTTATTTACTGATGCCTCCGGTTTCGATTTTCAAATCTTTGTTAAATATTTTGTCAGAAAAAAAATTGTTTAAATTGAGCAGAGAATTTGCTAGCAGTTCCTTTTGTTGCACAAATAGCCAAATGCTCACTTGTTTTCTTTGCTTCATTTTGCAGCTTTTTTTTGTTTTTGAGTTGATAAAGTATGACTTCCAGAAAGATGAGCCACTGAGGAATGAACAAGGCTGGTGCTACTGTGTGAGAAAAGGTAAGATAAGTTATGAAGACATCTTAAACAAAGACACTGAATCCACAGGTGCTGAGTTCAGGGAAGAACAAATGACTCTTCAGAACGTGATCTGCCTTGAATCGTAGCACAGGTGGACTAGCTTTAACTGCTGGATATTTAAACAACGATTACGTTGTTTAAATGCAAAATTGCAAAATAGTTAAGTGGCATATCTTTCGATTTTATATACACATCCGGTGTGTGATCGTAGCAGATGTCTGCATCACATATCACCAATAATATTAAGTCACTATTTTATCCTTGGCACATTAAACAGACCGCCCATGGTTTAAATTTGGGTTTTGATACTTGGAACCTTTGCAACTGTAGAAGATCGGCTGCTCTGAGACTCCTTTCCTTCTTGTGTAAATTGGTGATGACATTACCTCAGAGGCTCAAGCTGACAACTAAATGGTGTGGGAAAAATCTTTGTGGCTTCTTGCCTTCTTTGCTTCTCTCTTTTGTTCCTCTCAAGGTAGACTACCTCACACTTCAGTTTAAATGTTGAAAACAAATGTCTCAGTTACTTGCGTGTTATTATTGAAGGCAGAATGTAGAGATGTGCGCTTAGAATTGTTCAGAGATATTATTTGCATAAATGTGGCCCAGATTTCACCATGAGGCAACACCAGATGTGACTTCCTAGGTCTCTTCTTTGATGTGATAATACAAGTTGTAAAGCTGCTTTGTTGTTTTTCTTGTTGTGTTTTACTGGTAATGGAGAGCTTGAAAAAAAAGTTTTACTTCTTAAAAAATAATCTCTATTGATAGAGTGCAGGGCAGAGCCTTTCAGAGGTCCTCTATGTCAGGCTCCTGACTTGTTCCCTCTTTTCTCCTTTTTCTGATGTCCATCCTCTTTGCCTTTCTGGATAGGAATTGAGCATTTTAGCAAGAGTCCTCCCTCTTGATTAGTTTCTTTAGGTGTACAGATTTTAGTAGGTTTATCCTATATTATATGTCTATATGAGTGAGTATATACCATGTGCATCTTTCTGCTTCTGGGATAGCTCACTCAAAATGATCTTTTCCAGATCCCACAATTTACCTGCAAATTTCATGATTTCCTTGTTTTTTATTGCTGAGTAATATTCCATTATGTAGATATACCACAATTTGTGCATCCCTTTTCCTCCACTGAGGGGGATCTGGGCTGTTTCCATCTTCTGGCTATTACAAATAAGGCTGCTATAAACATGGTTGAGAAAATGTTCTTATTGTGTACTTGAGACTCTTTTGGGTATTTGCCTAGGAGTGGTACAGCTGGATCTTGAGGAAGCGCTATTCCTAGTTGTCTGAGAAAGCACCAGATTGCTTTCCAGAGTGGTTGTACAAGTTTACATTCCCACCAGCAGTGGAGGAGGGTTCCCCTTTCCATACAACCTCTCCAGCATGTGTTGTCTCTTGAGACTATCAATGCAACCTTTGGGCAGAGTCCAGGGAATCTTAGGGAAGAAGTGGGAAACAGTAAGATCTGGAGAGGACAGGAACTCCACAAGGAGAACAACAGAACCAAAAAATCTGAGCAAAGGGATCTTTCCTGAGACTGATACTCCAACCATGGACTATGCATGGAGATAACCTAAGACCCCTGTACAGATGTAGCCCATGGCAGTTCAGTATCTAAGTGGGTTACATAGTAATGGGAAGAGGGACTGTCTCTGACATGAACTGATTGGCCTGCTCTTTAATTACCTCCCCCTGAGGGGAAAGCAGCATTACCAGGCCACAGAAGAAGACAATGCAATCACTCTTGATAAGACCTAATTGACTAGGATCAGAAGGAAGGAAAAGAAGACCTCCCCTATCAGTGGACTTGAGAAGGGGCATGCGTGCAGAGGGTGGAGGAAGGGAGGGATTGGGACGGGAGGAGGGAGGGAACCACAGGGGGGATACAAAGTGAATAAAGTGTAATTAATAAAGAATTAAAAAAAAAACCTAATCTCCAAGCCTCTGAATATCAAATCAGTTCAAATTAGTGTCTTGGTGACTGGAGAGATAACACAGACAGCTCATTGCTCTTGCAGAGGACCTGAGCTCAATTCCCAGCACCCATGTCAGGCAGCTCACAACTTCCTGTTACTCCAGCTCCACAAGATCTGAGCCTGTGGCCTGTGAGGGCACGTGCACCCAACTTCACTGGTACACACACACACACACACACACACACACACACACACACACACACACACCCCACAATAATAATAAGATATACATTTTCAAACAGTTCTTAATTCAACTCCCCACATACTCTCCAAGAGGAAAAAGATGAACTTCGGAAGTCTTGGAGAACTTGAAGTCTTTCCTAGCGTGTTTGTTTATAACCATCATGAGACCTGAAACTGGAACTTGAATCTTGGGACTATGGTTATGTAATTTCAGCACTTATTAAAAATGCTAAATGACTCCACTTTAGAATCCTCATGATGAGCTGTTGCATTTTGTTTTCTATTATGGTGCTGTGCCTTCATTATGTAAATTATGCCTCGTCAGGAAAGGCATGAATACATTGTGACCTATGTGACCTATGTAAGCATTTACAATAAGTTATCAGAGGAAAAACAGATCTATATGATCTGAGAATGATAAACTAACAGTACAAATTGTGAGGAAGATAAGAGTGTTTAAAAATTCTGCAATATTAAATGTAGCCTGACAGACTACACAAATGCACGTGAGGCTTTGAAGGCACATGGACCTTGTTCTAAAATGTTCACTGCAACTTTTATGTGTGACAGCTGTATGACACTGGGCAAATTACTTTGTCTACCCCCATTTCTGCATTGGTCAAAGGAAGCTGTCATCAAGAGCCTTTCTTAGAGGCTGTTAATAAGATTGGGGTAGATACGTATGCCAGGCTCTGAGAACAGCGAGGCTACCGTAGAGAAGGTGCACTGTGTAACTGCGGTGACCATATCAGAACCAGGGGTGCTAGTGAGGATGGAAACAATGAGAAAGAGAAGCCACGGGGCTCTGAGGGAGAAGGTAAGGCAATGGCAGTGGCGCTGAGGAGCCAGTTGCTGAGGAGCAGCCCTTGCTAAGAACCCTCTGAGTAGTTCAGCCCATCGCTGCAGCTAATCCAGAAGAAGGTAAACCAGGGCCTTAGAGGCTAAGATCACTGCTATCCTTTATCTTGCAGATAACTTTGCCTTGCAGATTGCCAAGCATGACCTTGATTAAATAGGCTTGGCTGGAATAATAATTTCAGATAAGTGCCTAAGCATGAGTGGCACTCGTAAGTGTCATGAGATGGGAGTTCTTTCTAATGCCTTCCCCTTCCCTGTCAAGTACTTCCAGAATAACACCCCAGAGGAAAAAAAAAATCATTCTACCACTGTGTTAATTGGTTCAGCCTACTTCAGGGAATCTTAGCCACAAAACTGTAAAGACTCCATTGAGTTCTACACCTATTTCTTTTTCTTATTGTGACTGCTGACTTTATCCTCTCAGTATCAGTTCTTTTCTTAAGAAAATTAGAATTGTAATACCAGCTTTAAACAACTGCTAATCAAAATAAATCGAATTGTAATTGCAGAGCAGGTGTGATCACTATTGTGTACTGCTGTCACCAAGCTTACTGAAATTATTGAGTTATTTGCTCTCAATATTACCTGAGTTAAAATCTGTGTAATTCCAAGTGACATTACCCTCAGCCTGTCAACCCAGAGTATAAAAGAAACTATATTCATATTTCCTTTGCATAGAATTATTTTGTTGTTGATTTTTGCAAGGGTGTGTGTTAATTGTAAGCACCAAGAATAAAGGCCATTAGGTAGGACTGAAACAAATACAAAGGGAAACAAGAACGTACAATAGCTGGGTTTCTCTGATAAAACTTGGGTGTGTGTGGTGTCTGTAATGATGGTTGCTGCAGTGACGGCTGCCAAAATATCCCTTGGTCTTGCAGGCGAACCTGGTCTTCTCATTTCTCGTGTGAACATGAAGAATCCCTTCTTTGGCTACACAGGCTCTTACAGGCACACACAAAGCAAGCTGCTTCTTGATGTTTTTAGGAAGGGAGATGTTTACTTCAATACAGGAGACCTAATGGTTCAAGATCATGAGAACTTCCTTTACTTTTGGGACCGTGTTGGAGACACTTTCAGGTAGGAGTGACACTGGGTACCCAGCTGGCCCTGGGCCTGTGAGTTCCTGCTTCTGTTCCTTGGGACACACAGTCCTTCCATCTTCATAGTGATTCCCCACGCAAAGATTCACTCCCCATCTGCTTCAAGACCAAACTAGAAGTTGATTTCTGACGTCAAACTCCATAATTGCTTTTAAAAAAAAGAACCAGTCTATACCCAATCAGTAAGCCCTCCTCTAAGATCTAAAAGGAGAAGAGGTGAAGCTAACGTTAGGGTTAAAAAGAAGTCCTGGGTGAAGCTCGGAGTTACGATTAAACAGAAGAGCCATAGGATCAAATCTAAGGTCAATGTTTTGTCTTCCCTTTCTTTCTTTATTATCTCTTATTCCTCTATGTGTATGGGCGTGTGGGTGGCATGGGGGGGACGGGAGGCGTGTCACACCACGTATCGACTTCTGGGAGTTGTTCCTCTCCTCTATCATGTGTGTCCAGGTACTGAACTCTGATTTGGTGGCAAGTGCCTCCACTCACTGAGCTGTCTCACCAGTCCTGAGGTGATTCTTGATACAATGAAAAAATACTGAAACTGAGACTTTCCCCTCTTTTTTCTTGTTTGTTTTTTTAACATTTTCTTTTCTAATATTTCAAGCTTGTCTTAGCCCACCTAAAATTTTATTTTACTTTGCTACTCAGTGCCTTTAGAATAGTCAAAAGCATAGAGTAAGTACTTACAAAGGGCTTGAATGGATAGATGAAAAGGGAATAAAAAAAAGAGAAGTATGTCAAGTTCTCATCTTATAGAATTATCCTCATTAAAATAGCAGGAGTGAAGAAATTAATGCCTAGAAACTAAAGTGTGTTAAGAAACTGAGGTGATTATAGTATTTCTTTTAAGTTCTACCTCCAGGGATAAAATTTTAAACTTAATTTTTATTACTGCACAAAGCAGTGATTTTGTCCTGATATATTCCCCTTATCATCGTTTAATTTTATGGCTCTTTTAAAAACATTTTACAGTGAACAATTTATACCAATAAAACTCTTAAGTTATTTTAACCAAACCACAGCTGATCGTTTTTATTGAACTCTGAGCAAAATGCTCTGGTAGACATGGCATTTGCTTAGAAACTAGGTATTTTTGCCACTAGGTGCTTCCTAGAGCCAAATGCGAGTCAGTGAAACAGAGTGGGTTTCAGAGTTTCAGAGTGACTCACTGCTCCACCTGTCTTTTAGGTGGAAAGGAGAAAACGTGGCGACCACAGAGGTCGCGGATGTGATTGGGAGGTTGGACTTCATACAGGAAGCAAACGTGTATGGCGTGCCTGTGCCAGGTATGTGGCTGTCGACAGACGGCTCTGAGACTTGCAGAAGAGAATGTCCGTGTCCTCTCTAGGCTTTATTACGTTCTAAGTCGACATTAAAATATTTTGCACATTAAAATTAACATTTAAAAAATATTTTCACCTTGACTTGGCAAGCAATGCCCTTGAATAAGCCAACAAGCTTTATGGACACATTGGAGGAACGGTACAGATGAATTTTACTGTTTTGGTGTGTTTTTAGGCAAAAGCTAGAAAATCTGGCCAGGGACTAGCGACTTGAAAATAGTCGAAGCCGATCTTTCCAATTGTCTCATTTTTCCTCTGATGGTGTGTGTTGGTGCATTCCACCAAAGAGGAACATGTTCGAGTTTAAAGGTTTAGCAATACCACTTGGGCCTGAAGTGTGTCCTTTTATGCAAACGAAGGTGCTTCCTGCTAATGCTGTGGGTGGTGGGGAAGCCAGGGACTGAAGGAGACAACAGATCCCTGAGGACTGGAGAACTGCACCAGCCCCCTGAGGTCTACAGATGGCATTCAGACAGTTGGCAATGCGGACTTAGTCAAAATACCCACATCTAGTTTTCCTAACTTCAAATATCCCAGTTGAGTTTTTCATCAGTGACTAAAATGTGCATTTTTGCTGGGCCACAGTGTAGTTACCTCTAAGTCAGTTTTCTTTCTTAGTATTCGTTTTGGTAGGATGCAAATTATCCTTAATTTCTTGTGTCTTCCATCCAGCCTGTTTCCTTTCTGTAGTATAGACAATGAAGGACAAGCTGTGGTCATGCCCTCTGTTCAGTGACTTCTAGTGATTATATCATATGCCAGGGAAAGACACACAGTCAGTAATGCTACTGCCACATTGAAACTAACCTCTGCGACAGACAAAGTTATCTCTGTGGCAGTGGGTGTGTGACCAGATGAATCTGGAAAATTCACGTAGTATAGATGGATTTTATTTCAATCTTTTCCCCAGGTTATGAAGGAAAAGCAGGGATGACGTCTATTATTCTAAAACCAAACAAGCCTTTAGACTTACAAAAAACTTACGACCAAGTCGCAACATCTCTACCAGCCTATGCCTGCCCGCGATTTTTAAGAATTCAGGTAAATTTTTACAGCCTCTAAATGTACTGTCAAATGTAAGAGGCAGAACCAAGAGGTGGGTCATACCAAAATACTGTTGTCTGATTTAGGTAATGCATGTGTTTTATTTATATCGGGTAATTTTAAGAATAAAGAGCAGAGAAATGTAGAATGGGTGCTGTTTGATGCTGTATTTGAAGTTGGGTAGGAAAGAAGTGTGATGTGCTAGGGTGAGCCTTTGTCCTGCCTGTGGAGCAGATCTCTTCCTCTTCACCTAGGACCTTAAAATAAAGTGATATTCTCAGTGAGGGTGGCAAGCCGAAACTGTATCTTGTACTTAATTTCTGAAGACAGTTGGTGCCATTTGCCTAAAATTAGACTTTACTAGGTCAACCCCAAATTGCTTGTAGGTTATTTACAGAACCTGAAGGAATTTGTCTTCAAGCAGTTTTCTTCCCAACCCGTTTTTATAGGTTTAAGTCCTCTCCTTATATTGTGGGAATTCCTGAGCTCATTTCCTTTGGGATAAAAGCTCTTTTTAGATTTTGTTAGATTGCTAGTAAAGAGTGGTTTGAAAATATCTTACTCAGCTTCCGGATAATTTTACTTGCTTATTTACTCTGTCACTCAATTATTTAATACTGTGGCTCAAATACAATTCATGGACGTTAGTAGTTTTCTGTTTTTAACATTGTAACACATACTTTTCCAGAATATATTTGTTATATTACTATTAAATGACTAGTAAAGTAGAACAAAATGATATCACATTCATATTTTAAAACATTTGTAAACCAATGCTCATAGTCAAGCTATTGCTTATCCAAGGTGCACGTCATCCAAATTTATTTGTTTCATTTGCATATTATATATTTTTCAGATAAGTCTCAGAAATATTCTCTGAAATTATAAAATTAAGTAAGTATGAAAAAGAAGTAACTTAGTTAGCTGAACCTTTTATTGATGAAGTTGAGGATTAGCATTTAAGTATTTTTATTTTAGAATTAACTATTTTTAAGCATTGACATATATAGACAACTGACACGACCATTATAACATAATTAAGTTTACTATTAATTCTCCCATATTACTTGTGTATTTACATTTCATGTGCATGTGTTTCTTATACATCATGTGCTGTATGGCCTCTTTTTTCTTTGTTTATATATGTAGATAGCATATTATATATACATACATATTCCTAAATATATAAATTCAACTGGTTGAGTTCATATAATTGTTACTTATATGCAATTTATCTCAGGGCTGATCTTTTGGTGTTGTTTAACCAATTAGGGAACTCTTCCTTGGGAAGACTATTTCATCCCGTTCTCAGTATTCCTTAGTTGCCTACAGTTCTTAGTCTATGGTTGGGGCCTTTTGAGATTTCCTCCTTTTGTGTTAGCATGTCTGTTGGTATCATCCCTGATTGGGTCATGTTTAAGGAGTCATGTTGTTGAGACGCCATAAGTGTAATTTCCTGACATTTCTAGGAGATGTCATCTCACAGCAGACACGCCTTCTCTTTTGAAAATGTTCCCTGAGCCTTAGGTGAAGGATGCAGGCCTTTTGTTGTAGATGGCTCAGTTGAAGATGGATAACATATGATCACTGCTTTTGCATTTTGACCAGTTGTAGTTTTATGTAATGGTCTTCATTTCTTGCAAAAAGATGTTTCTTTGTTGAGGGGTAAGAGTTACACTTATCCGTGGGTATAACTAAATATTTAGAACATGGTTAGGAATTACATTGGTTTAATAATGTGGCAGGTTCTTCTCCAAGATTCACAACCTCACGACCTCGTTAGCTCTGGGTAGTTGGATACAAACTAGTACAAAGCATAGCTTTCCTGTTTTTGAGCAGTTCTGAAATCTAATTAGAGAGTGGGAGCCTTATTTTCACTACTCTAGAAGACTGGGTCAGCATTATACACCGTTAGAAAATATTTTAATATCATTAATTTTCTAAACGGAACCTTGGCCATTACAGTTCTGATTGTTATTTAATTCGTTACAATGGACAGAAAGCCTAACATTTAAAGCTTTCTTCTCACATCTCAAAACAGCTGAAATAGAACTAACCCTGTCCTTTGGTTCAACCCCAGAGACAAAAATTTCCAGAACCTCCTGGGAAAACTTAGATCATAAATTTTGTCTTTTATAACTTTAACTCTTATTATAGTATTATGTATTTATAATATTGTTTTGGTATTGACATGAAATAGGATATGTATTTCAATCATGCTTAGTTTGTTGATTATATTACTATTATGTATTTAATAAGCTAACATTTCAATAAAGTTTACAGATAAATTAAAGGTGTCTATTTCTAATGTTAAATTAATACTAAATATGGAAAAGTAAGTTGGATATAAAATGTGATAAGAAGATACGACCTATGTTTTTTTGACCTAAACATTTTAAACATTTATGACCTAAACATTTTACTCATACATAATAGTAATTACAAATACAAATAACTTGTTCCACTCAGATCTGTAATTATTTTCTAGGACAAAATGGAAACAACAGGGACATTCAAGCTACAGAAGTTACAGCTGGTAGAAGACGGATTTAATCCCCTGAAGATTTCTGACCCACTCTACTTTATGGATAACTTGAAAAAATCTTATGTTCCACTGACCAAAGAAATTTATAATCAGATAATGTTAGAGGAGCTTAAACTTTAAGGCTGTATTTATGGGACTTTGATGGCTTCCTGGGAAAGATGAAGGAAGATTCACGAGCTCCCTGACTGACAGTCAGGAGGGGTTCCTTTCATAACTCAATCATAAACTGGAAAGAACTGAAGAATGCATTTGATATACCTAAGCTGTCAAGGCCCACACTTCTCAGCACAGTGAGCCGTGAAGAATGAGATGTTCACCCCAGAGGCTTGAGGTTGACATGAGGATGCTGCTAACAGCTGCTGCCCAAGACTACCAGAGAGTAGCACACTGCACAGCATGTGCCCAGAATGAGAACACAGTTCAAAGTACAGTGACTTGGGAAGTAAAAGCAAACAGGCCGTAGTGTTACCACCTGACTCTGGGACTCTAACAAATAGGCTGATTTACTCTGAAGCAGAGACGGCGAAGTAGTGTTCATCATATGCTGCACTTCCTTGTGAAGCTTAAAATTCCTTGAGTTTAATAAGGCTTAAGATTGCTTGATCTGATGTAGACTTTGGCTGACTTTTTCCTTAATTTGAAGACTCAGTAAATAAATACTTGCCTTAATATTGAAGATTTTATGTAAGATAATATGTAAGCAGTTAACGGTTTAATCACTTAAAATACTTTCTAATATGTAACGATTCTAGTTTTCAACGAATAGTAAAATTTTTACTCAGTTTATTTTTATGTTCTCTATCTTGTAACTCAATAAAACAAACTTTATTATTATGTGATTTGGGTGCTATTAAATTCTTTATTTTTTATTTTGTGTGTGTGGGTGTTTTGCCTGCATGTATATCTGTGCCCCACGTTTGTGCTTGCTGTCCCTCAGAGCCCAGAAGAGGGCATCAGATTTCTCAGAGCTGGAGTTTTATAGTTGTAAGCTGCCATGTGGGAGCTGGAAATCAAACCCCAGGTCCTCTGGAAGAGCAGCCAGTGCTCTTATCCACTGATACCTCTCTCTAGCCCAGAAACTTGAGTCTTTGTTGTGTTGTTTTTAAGTGTAAACTCCAATCAAAGGCACCTGACCGAAAATACATGTACTCATATTTCCTTTCTCTTAAAAAAATACACTAAAGAGACAAACAAATGTGAAAATATAAAAGGGGCAGAGCAGGGAAATGGGTGAGCCCAAGTCTTTGGAATTGTTGGGCAGCTGTATAAATGGAAGATCAGCAATAAATGTTCAAAGAGTCACGGGAACCAATAGTGGTACAGAGAACAGCTGGACTAGGGCAGAGCTCTGGAGTTACCATCAAGGTCAAAGACAGAAGGAGCTGCCAGTCTTAACAGGAATGTAAGGAGTTACCTAAAACACAGGATACAATGACAGTGTGGGGAACAGAGTGCTGGTTGGAAGGTGGGAGCGTTTGGACCCAGTGTTGCCTTTAATCTAGAACCACAAAACATCCCTAAGTAAGGTGAAGTATCGTCCATAGAAAAGTGGCATGGATGGGTTGTGGTTTAAGTGTGTCTTCATCTTCCAGGCTGCATTTGCTGGAAGCTTGGTTTCCAGTGTACAATCTTGAGGTGACAAAATGTCTCAGAGGTAGGGTCTAGTGGAAAAGACTTCAGTCATTGGGGTGGTCACCCTTGGAATGGATTAATAAATTCTTTCAGATTCCAGTTTATTCTTGGGAGAATGAGTCGCTGTGCTTAGCTTCTCCTGAACATACTGCTCTCATTGTTCTTTCATAGTATGACACAGTCTACAGGGACATCACTAGAGGACAAACAGATATGGCCACATAATCTACAACTTCAGCCTCCAAAACTGTCAGCTAAATAAACATCTTTTCTGTGTAAGCACCCAACTTCAGGTATTTTGTAATAACACTAGAAAATATATTAAGTTAGAAGGCTTTATAAAGCAAGAATAAGAGGTGGAATAAGGTCTGACTAGCCAGCCCTGAACCTATAAACCTAGCTCTCCGAAAGAAAGTTTGCCTATTTATGTTATCTAAGAAAACTTGTATAGCAATATATAAATGAAAATGAATTGATTTTTGTTGGTGTAATGTTCTTGAGGAATGTAAACAATTTACCCATTTTCATTCAAATGCTGGTTTCTCTACCCTACTATCTGGTTTTAATCCATTGCATCGTGATGTTTATTCTTAGCATCGCCTGTCTCAAGTTTGTGTAAGCATGCCCCCCATTTGTTCTCTGTATTTTCAATAAAACAGTTGCTGAGCAATGGAGAGAATAGGGTGGGACACTCTGGTGGCGGGGAGGGAAAGAAGCGAGTGGGAGAGTAGAAGAGAAGAGTTCGGCAGGAGAACAGTTGGGACCAGGAGGAGAGATGAACCTGACCCAACATGTGACTAAAAGCAAGCATAATGTGGGAAATATGAATGGGAGGAAACTATCCAGGCTTGGAGGTTTAGGTTGGAGTAACTGTTGCCCAGCATTGTGCTGGGCAATGGTTAAGTAAATAAATCCTAGTCTCTGTGTGGTGATTTAGGTGTACAGCTGGTTTAGGAATAACCACTGTTTAACTAAAAAATAAATTAATAATAAATATTAATCAACAACACATTTTCTTTAGTAAAAAGGTTGAGTGAATGTATAAACCTCTATTAATGGTCACTAGTTAATTGCCTTTAGTTTTAAGGTTTTGCTTGGGATATGTGCTTTGCACTTTGTTGTCCTCTTTTAAGTATTAGAAATCTGTTGGCGAGTTTCTGCTAATTTCTAACTCCTTAAAAGGCAGGCAGACTGAACTGTGACAGTAAACAACACATCTTTGTAGCACCCGGTACCACTATTCAGTTCTTTTGCCAAATCCATAGATATTAGAGGCAGATGTTTGGAAGAGAACAATCCATTCTAGAAAAGGAGTAGGTGTAGAAAGTGTCACAAGTGGAGAGCATTATAGGAAGCTGCTAGAAAACACAGCAGATGAGATCACATGATCAAAGAAAGAGTGGGAGAAAAGGGAAATAGTATTACACAGGCAAATGCTTCAAAGTCAAAGGAAGCCAATTATACAGTAAACACATTTGAAAAGCAAGTGGGGTCCATGTATGATCAGAACAAGAAATTACAGAAAGCGGCATCAGGTACTTCTGCACTTCTGTGGCTTGTGGAAAACTACTGTGAGCAGACAGTTGCACTGCTGACTGGGGAAAGCAGCAGGAGCCAACACCACACAAATGCATGAGTTCACTCAGGACAAAAGCAAACCCTAAGAACAGGTAACATGTTTAAGGTGCTAGACACTAGGAGAAAATAAACAGAGCCACCTTTATAGTACCTGAATGGATAATTGCATTAAGCTTAATCACAGCTATACTGTACAAACAAAAACTTTCAGGAAAATGTTTCAGAAGTCTTCCATTTTATTCTACATAAATAAACATGTTTATATAGAAATGAAGAGATGTTTATATGAGAGAGGGTAGGGGAGGAGAGGAATCTAGTATCTAGTGATTTCAAATCACTACAATTTGACAACTAGAATATTAGTTACCAAATTACTAAACTCTGGGAAACAAGAACATATCTCAACAAATTAAGTATATTTGTCTCATAAAATAATATGTATGATTTATCAAAACTAAGAAGCACAAATAAAGATGGAAAATATTATATTTTAAGCACTCTCTGCCAGTGATTCTCAATTTGTGGGTCATGGACTATTTGGGGGTCAAACAACCCTTTCCCTGGGACACTGATGACCACTCTGCATGTCAGATATCTACATTATGACTTATAACAGTAGCACAATTACAGTTATGAAGTAGCAACAAAATGATTTTATGGTTGGGGTTCACCACAACATGAGGAATTGAAGTAAAGGGTTACATCATTAGGAAAGCTGAGAACTACTAACATAAGTCAAAACTCTATACCCGGTGAAATTGTCTTCTAGGAATGAAGGTTAATGCTGTCTCAGTTATGCTACCTTAAAAACAGCCAGGAAGCTTTGTCCATAGCAAATGCAAAAGTAGTTTGTTTTTTGTTTTCAGACCAAAGTAAAATGTTGCTAAAAGGAAACTCCTATCTTCATGAATGAATCAATGATGACCTTTTGGAAAGGCATATATTTGGGTAGATATAATTTCATTTCTTTAATTTAAAATTGGCCTAAAACTACCTAAAACAAAATTTATAATAATTTGTCATTTTACAATTAATTTAAATGGAATAAAATGTCAACTCGCATAAAGAATGGAAATCTGATAAAGAATGCAGATGTTTGTTAAGCATTGGAGATGCTATCTGAAAATTGTGAATAATTTGGGAGGTTGTAAGATAAGACTGAACTATATTTTAGTGACTGCAAATTGACAAGAAGACTCTACAGAAACTGTGAGTGGGAGCCCAAATGGGTACAACCTTCTCAAGGCTAATGTCTCACTGAGCTTCTGATGCATGTAAAGCACTGACTCAACAATTTTATTTCCCGGGCTAAAAGTAAATGGCAATGAGCTAGAATTTATGTGTCTACTTTCTGTTTGGGATCCATTATTAATAACACCAAATATTGGGGATAACCTCACATGGGAAACAATTATACAAATATTGGTAGAATTTATACTTATTTTGGCATAATGGAGTTATAAAGAACACTTGCCATGCAAGTGCCTAACAAGGGCCTAACATGGAGTGATAAGCTTCAGGTTTAGATATTAAGTTTCCTTCAAAGGTTCATATGTTAATGGTGTGATCTGAGCTTGAAGCAAAAAACTGTGGGACCTCTAACGGGGGAATGGAGTGGAAGAAAGTTGGGGCAATGTGTTTAGGCCTTTGTTGGGAAAGTTAGGATTCTAGCGTCTTCTTCTCTTTCTTTGCCTCCCAGCTGCCATGAAGTAAGAACCTTTACTCCAGGGCACACTTTCAGCCATGGGGTTCTGGCTAGCAACAGGCCTAAAGCAAGAGTCAATTGGCCATGGTTCTAGTAAACTAAAACCTTGGAACAATAAGGTCAAATAAACTTTTCCTTCTTTAAGTTGATTTATCTCAAGTATTTTCTTATAGCAGTGAAAGCTGATTGACACAAACACCCACTG